AAATGAAGCCAAGTTCATCTACAATGATTTAACAACTGTTTTGCGACCCTTGCAATATGTCTTAATCAGTAAAGCAACAGACCTAGGACTAATACAGGTACTAGACTTTATTTAGCACAATGTTAACAGCAACATACTATATATGTAAGTCCTATCATTAATTGCGGTAATTAAATGCGTCGCGGAAACAACAATTACGTCGCAAAGGACACAGCCAATTAAATAACCGGTTAAAACTAGTTTATATCTAATAAGAAACGATGCCTGTTACGGTATTTTTTAGAACGATTACTCTAAATAGTAAATAAGAGACACTGTTTTTGTCACAGACATATATATATATATATATATATATATATATATATATATATATAAGGCAAGAGAGAAAACATAATGGACAGACCATATGGTCTGTCTTGTTATTTTTTTAAATTAGCGATCTTAAGCTATAAATTAGGGTGAGTGGACTCAATGTCAAATCGGTACTTTTAATATGTATTTAAATAAGTAGTTACTGTACCCTAAAGCAGTGTATACAGTATGATGTTATAACAGTTTCGTTGAAATTAGACAAGTAGTGTTAAAATAACAGGTGTATATATATTACTTAGTGACGCGTATTATTTATTGTATCCCCTACTTCACAATTCCTCTTAACTGGACTGGAAGAAATCCCTTTTTGGGAAAATTCCGCCATTATACCCATTTATTTTGTAAGTTATATGTGTCCTTTTATACACAAACAATACAGACAGTACAACAAACAATCAAACTATAACAATCTTTATTTGAATTGTAGGTATGCCGCAAATTCATGTGTAACACTGAGGCGTCTGCCTATTTGATAGCGAAAATGGTACAATTTTATACCAATGTTAATATTATATATTCGGAATAATATTTGATTCTCTAAATATTTCCATTCAATATTTTTATTTTTATTCACTAATTAAATTTTCGAAAGAAATTATTTTCTAATATAGTCACAAAATGAAACTAATCGCTTTTTTTGAAATTGATATGACAACAAAATGTACTTACATCTTCTTCACCAATTTCCTCACTGACCGCTGAATTATACTAATGATCAACATTTTTGAAATGGATTTTCTTTCACGTCAAATTATAAATAAGTCAAGACGCAGTAAAAATAAAAGAATAAAAAATTACAAAATCTTGCATGCAAACAACTTAATATACGTTAGATTTTTAAATTATTTAGCTTCAATTGAAGACCACGCAGCTGAACTCCGGATTACAACTGAACAAGATTACTATATAAAAAACGGGTAGTACTTTTATTGTAATGTTTACATCTACCCTACATGAATGATATATACTATAATTGAGATATTATGTATGTATAGTGAGTGAAGGTTTATTAACAGTACAAAAAATGGCAGCGAGATAACTAAAAAGAGTGAACTTTTTACGACATATGTCAACTATATTCGTGTGAAAATTGTTGCAGTTAAATAATTAAATACTTTAATGTAAATAGTAATAACATAATATACCTTCAATACGGTTATCTCTGATGGAGTAGCCTAGTGAACATACTACTTGACTTATCTATATTTCGTTTGGTATATTTGTATCCATATTGCATGGGCTGTCGTCGTATGAAAATTAGTTTGTTAAGTGTGATTGCTTTACCGAAGGATATTTTTTTATGTTGTGGGTTAGATCCGAACTTACTGCCCTTGGATTTTAAGGCGGGATAGTAAACCACGATACTTTCACAATGTCGCGGGTGTCCTCTAGAATTTAACGTCCTTTATTGTTTTGTACAGTAATAACCTTCATTTGTTCACTGTCACATGAAAAGTTGATTGACACATTTGATTGGACAATGTCATTGTCGCCCTGATATGGACGAAACCATTTTACGAAATATATTGTAAGCAAATATATATATTATTTATCTTCATTATATTGTGTACCCGGATTTCAGTTGGAGCATAATGTCACATTCTATACATACCTATAGGTGTTGCGTTTATATAATTTTTAATTTAGCAATTATTATCGGCGTGATACGTAACTATACCAGTTTAACTACCGCAAACCAGTGTTTCGTTTAATTATATACGATAATAAGTAAATAACATAGTAACAAAAAGGATGTTTGATTCACTACATATTATAGTAAGAAGTATTATGTAAATTGTTAATTTATGTAAAATTATGATAATACCGATTAAATATGAAATAAATTATTTTGAAGGAATTTCTGCACTGAATGAATTCACAGAATTCCGTCAAAGTAGTAAATGGACTATTACATATATATTTTACACTAAGATATAAATTTTTAACACAGCAAATCTTACTAATATTTAAATGCGAAAGTTTGTGAGTATGGGTGGATAGATGGATAGGCTATAAATTTCACGCGGGTGTAACCACGGGCACACCTAGTATAGTACTATAATACATATACCGTAAATAAAGTAGCAAATAATAATACTTTGGGTATATATAAATACCAGAACATATATTTTTGTGGGACAAACGGATAACTATCGTTTGCCTTTATGATTATCCGTAAAAATATTAATTTGTAATCTGCAAACAAAAAAATGTAAATCTAATTTTTTATTAATAACGAAATACCTATTGTATTTCGTTATTGTGCCCAACGCACCTGTTTTTAGACTTTTATTATATATTTTGATATACACATTTTTAATATTTTATCCTTTGTTCTATTTTTATTATCGATTTTGAAATATATGTCTTTTACCATCAGCAACCTTAGTTTCTCTTAACACTAAAATTAAAACATATAAAACATACAGTCCATAAGAAATCTCAGTCGTTAATAGGTTATATTATGTATGTAACCATCTAAGTATTAAAAGCTGCGGAGTAAAGAAATCAAAAAAATTTAATGTCGATAGATATGTAGATCCCAGAACGAATCTATTGCGAGACAAATCGATAACTAGTGTTAGATTTTTTATGTAACAGCGAATTAAAGAAACCTTGATTACCTGACATCTAAATGATCCGGTCCGCTCTATTGCCTTGAGACTCAGATTGCTAAAGTGCTTTATGGTATTAAGATTTGCTTTGGAACTTCAAGTGTGGCCTCACGCATAAATAAGGCAACAGCAAATGAAATATAAAGGAGAATGATAGTTAGAACATTATGAGATCATAATATTGTAACTATGGTAATAGATTTAATGAACAAATAGATGCTGGCAAATAAATTAGTGATTCAACCTGAATATATCATTCAACGCCCTGACGTCCTTAAGTAAATGTAAAACTCACTTAACTGATATTGTATTAGTAGTATTACATATATTAATCAACCAGATAAGTAGAAGAATTGAATAATATTTATTAAAGAAATTATTAACAAAATTCGTATAGCTTTGGTGAAGATATCACGATATTCTACGGAATACGAGTACTCAAAAATTGCTTTGGAATTTAAAACTTGCATGTCCCTTTTTTGAGATTATTCTTAGAATTTTATTTACTACACGAGGATTGATTTTCAGGGGTAACTATATTAGTAACCGTCGAAATAAAATTCCTGAATGTATTATTTTTTCAAACGATTGCATGGTGAGTATTTATGTATTATTTTCATCGTGGACTGCATAGATGAAAATACCCATTTCTACTACCTCTATTAATTCAAATTTAAAGTAGTAGTCAGTCTTAATTAATCCTAAACTAATGACTGTAACTAACACTGCAACAGCTTTTAGACATATTAACATTTTAATGACGGCTGAATGAGAATGCAAATATTTACCTGTTAAATATGCCAACTTACTATTCACTACCAAAGTAATAATATTCTCTGAGCAATACCGACATAGGTATATAAAAAAAGAAAAACTAGAACAACTGAGTATAGAACGATTCCTGCTGGGGAAACTAGGTTCACTACTAGGTATATAATAGATGTAGATTGTACGTAAGAATATCTGAAGTTAGGTATAACTTACACATCTGCTGTGTAAACTCTTAAAATGCTAATTTGTGTAACATTCTTTTACGTGCATGAAGTGAAACAAATTATATGTATGTCAATTTACGTCATTTAAGTTAGCAAATATTTTTCTAATTTGTTATAGATATCGCCGACAACTATAAAAGACTGTCGACAGCATAACGTCACACTAATATTATAAGAGATAACTAATTATTGCCAAAATAAAATCTGTCTACAATATGGCATAGTTAGACACGTCACTTGACTAACATTTTATGGTCAATAACTTTGATTTACACTGATCACACTGATGTATCATTCTCAGTCTGTTATCGATCAAAATAATAATAATTCAAATGCTTTAGCCTACTTTACGATACGCGAAGTCTCATGGTCGTAAATGCGAATGCTTATCTTAAGAAATAAATACGTTTTTATTGAGTTTGGCCGTTGATGTGATAGCATATTGTGTTTATGAACTATTTATTAGATCTCCAAGTAGGTTTGTAGTTTTAAAATTAGATTCCATTTGTTCGCTTAAAACGGTTATTTTCAAATTGTGCCATTGTGTCTTGTATCAATCAGACGCACATGTTGGACAAAATAGATCGCATGTCCGCAGTACGAATCCATATTATATTATTATCTTCCACGTGTCGTGAACCTGAGAGAGCAAAATGTCTGAATTGTAGATATAGTATCCAAATAACTCATAAGTAATTGTTGGAAAAAGACACAAATAATTAAATATACACCATAACAATAGTATTCGTAGAGTATATTATTTTACTTTTGAAGCGAAAATCTTAACATTTCAAAGTTTGTTCCTCACTTTATTTACTACTACTATAGATAGATAAAAGAATTAAACCTATATAATTCTAATTCATTAGCTTCATTTACATTAATAATGTAATACAAACTTTATTCTGTATATCAATTCATCCAAATTGAATTCTCTACATATTAATTCGGATAATAAAGGTGTCCTAAAGACGTAGGTCCCATTTAAAATGCTCATGACTTTAAGTAATATACTTACTTTATTGTGAGGGCCAGCAAGACTATAATGAGCCCTACCAGGGCCATGGCAATAACGACGCCGCATATCATGTAATTCGCATCACTCGGTGCATCTGTAACAAGAGAAAATAAACTTTAGATGCTTGTATCTAAGATTGAAATTGAAATTTACATAAGAGGAGAATGTATAATGCAAAAAGGTATAAGGCACCCGCGGTTAATGCAATATGTTTTTTAAATAGAAGTACACCGTATGGAAAAAAAATAACTCTACCAACCATCGTGATATCTTTTTTATGAGACCGATACAAAAGTGAACCTTATAGACTGGAAAAATAATAATCATAATTGAATAGATTTTTGCCATATAACTTTGGCAAAAATCTATTCAATTATGATTATTATTTTTCCAGTCTATAAGGTTCACTTTCGTATCGATCTCATAAAAAGGGTTAATTAATTCCTAAGTCGTAAATGATTAAGCTAAAAATCGGGTTAGAATACTCTAAAACTGTAAGAACGACTTTAACTAAAAGATTTTAACCAAGAAATAAAGTGTCTGAAATCAACCAGTTTTAATGAAATCATATCAACAACTATTGTAATTTTTTTATCTGACTCCAAAAAAGTTTTTTTAATGTTTGTTACTTTACAACTCCATCATTTATAAACTAATTCAAAAATGGCTTTTTTAGTTGAAGGAGTCCAGATTGGTATTTATATTTCTGAATTCTTGGAGTCGATTTTTTGTAAGAAAATTATTCAGTTTATTGCTTAGTGACTGTGATTCAATTTCAAAATTATTGTACCTGCTTTCGGATTGCTATACCATTTACGACTACCCATATATTGACATCGCCTTTAAAAAAATACAGTCGACTTTAGAAATACCACATTGTTTAAAATAATTAAAAATAAGAATGAACTTCAAGGCTTTGTGATCAGAATAGAATTGAAAGCTTTAAGTATTATTTTAAAAAGGCTTTTTACAGTGGGCAGTGTAGATACAGGATGAATAATAGAACAAGCATGTACATAATTATTTCGTAGCCACATAAATAGACTTCATTATAATAACTGTATTTATGTATCCTAATGTATATTTAAAGACACATTGACAAGCAGTATTTATTGTTTATGACATGACTACTTTGAATAGGTGCAGATAGTTAAGTTATTAGTCAGTTTATCTTATTGTGTATCTACTGAACACTTGAGTGATTGTAATTTCTCTTATCAGTCAAATGATATCCTGTGGTTTCTGTACCTAAAATACCTACCAATCACTACATTATATGACTCATATTAGTCAAGTGGGTAACAATATTCTATTTGCATTAATAATATACGAATATAAACACGCAATTGTTTAGTTCAGTTGAAGTACTTTTATTTAATAAATAGATTCTACGATAGTTAAATCTATGGCTGCAACTTCTAAATGCAAAATACTAACTATCACATGGATGTATGAAGAATAACCATCATGGGATACAAAGATGAAACAAACTAGAAATAAAATTTGTTATAATATCAGAGCCCGCGACTATATAGGTATCTGTAAGTATGTGTATATATCTATGACTATGTATTTTGTTAGTTATTAAAATAGAGTCCTTATTTTATTCCACACGAACCAAAATTAAAATATTACTGAACCAAAGCTGTTTTTAAGATTAGCGCGTACAAACACACAGACAAACTGATAAAATACAAACAATAATTGTTTTTAGTTCTAAGTTTTTTCATATATAACAGACAGTAATAATAATTGATAGTTTTCGAAATTACTATTGATAAAGTGCATGCATTGATCCCATAAATTTATGAACTTTTCCGTTAATAAAATGTTATTTTGTAATAGGGCCTCAGAGATTCTTGCTAACATTTAAACCACAATATATGTATTGGAATGACGCAGATCTGTTTTCAAATTAATCAACAATATAATATAATAAAGTCACACATAATACATTTTCATGGACCTATACCTACCTATAACAATATCACTAAACTAAAAAGTATGAACGTACAGACTGGCAAGTGTTAGTAAGAATGGAAGAAAAAAAAATAGTTTCTGTATATTCTGTATAATATTTGGCTGCAGCGTTTGTTTATAATAATAGCAAATTGAAAGCCACTATAAACTTTGTCCACGACTTCGTCTGATTTTTCCATTATCGTACTACAATGTAATGTCACTAAGGTCTAGCTATTTAGTAATGGAAACGTTTGTTACCTTAAACATATACTTTCACATTTATAATATTAGTATGGACTAATAAAAGTAATTTATTTCTTAAGATTATTAAATATTTATGTAACCTGTTATTAAATATTTTATTATAGTTAGAATAAAATGTAAACAAACCTAAAATACAAACAAATCTAGAATAAAAATTATTTTTTTTTTGCTCGTTTATATTAGAATACCCAAAAGAACATGTTCCGTATTAATTTTAAAAGAATCCTAAACACCTACACTGGCGGCTCAGCTAATGGAAAATTCTGACTGTCCTCTGTATACACGTAATTTGTATTGACGATCTCGATGGTCCAGTGGTTTAGCATACCGCTTTACTTGCATACGTCGCGAGTTCAATTCCTCGCATGCTTCAAACAATTGTATTTATGAGCATGATTGTTATATTGGTCTATGTATATTATGAATGCATTTACAAATATACATATCTAAGTATTTATATCAATTGTCTAGTATCCATAACGCAAACTCTGATTAGCTTCGGACTAGAGGGCGCTCTGCGAATTGTCCAGTATTGTTATTAAGTTTAGGCAATAGTATCACTGGTTAATAAAAATAAAACATAATATCATATATATAATAAACATGACGCATGTAGTAGCTATGGAATGCAATTATCTTATAGATTTCTTGTTTCCCGCAAATTTCCCACAGTCGATAGAGTTATGTCACTAAACTCAAAACTAGTTATGTCGCTAAAAGCATACCTACCATACAAGATGGTACAGGTTCCCCATAAACGGTTATAACTGCACCATTCCAGTTAACGGTACAGAAACCTTAATCACTTGTCTATTCATATTGAATCAATAAAAATACAGACATGCGCTTTTGCGAAATTTACTGGCGAACACGCACACCAGGCATGCAAGTCTTTGTATTTTTTTTACATAATTGAAATGGCAAACAGTCTGACGAATGGTAAGTGTAGAACCTTACTTTCAGTAAGGTATATTACATTATCATATCACGCCCTTGGTGACCACTTAAACATTGGCATTCCGAAGCATTAAAACATTCATATATTGTAGTTTCACTGTTTTGTCTCGCCGTTCCTCCGAAACACTGCTTACAAAGCAAGCTTTTAGGACGGAAGGGTATTGTTAGTAACGTGGATTAATAACCCCATTACTAGCAATATACCAATATTAGGTTAACCTCCACGCGGTTCCTCTTGGATACCATCATGTTAAATTCCAGGTAAATTTGCCACGATGGGCTAACTGATCTGACCTCATACTCAACTTAACATCCTTCCCTAGTGCCTCATCAGTGTATACCGTTATTGCAGGCGAGTGCATCATTCCATTAAAAAAAGGCAAGCTATTTTGCGGCTCAAATGAGATTGAAGTACCTACGGAGAGGATTTTTACAGTCTACATCGGTGTGAAGGAATAATAACTGTAACTTGAGTCATTGGACTTGTGGCAGTGACCCTGTTATAAGTCTGGGATACTATCCACAGTAATTTCACTGTATTAACGAGTTCACGTACCACTTTGTGCCAACTATGCCGTATCCTTAATTTGCCAACGGTACCAATGAATATTAGCGGAAAATACCAGATCGATAACTAAATTTTTAACGCTCATTGGAAATTTCATCAGATAGTCGGCAAGTCAATTGAATATTCGTGATCGTGATATTGTGTAATTCATTCAATTTACATACAGAGTTATTAAATATTTTATTTACTGCTTAAAAACACAAATAAACAACAAATGTAAAATATCTTACAAATTGCAAGCTTTCGGCAAAAAAGAGGGCTGAAATTTTAAATATTTAGTTATGTAATCTGTAATGAACTGACAATTCCACAATTAAAGAATTATATTTTTTTAATCACAATTAATATTTAAAATATTATGTACCTATACACAATTAATATAAGGAATAAAATATCTAATTAGTATTTTAGTTAGGTTTCTAAAGATTATATTTCAGAAACCTAACTAAATATATAAATTAACAATATTATTGTAAAATACTGACATCGGAATGTGCAATTAGATAACAATGACTATTACAAAACTTAAATAATATTATGTAGCAATCGTCAATAAATCATTTTTACTTTGTTCTGTTAGTAATATATGAATTAATAAGTATTCTCGAAACAGTTGTTCGTGTAATACAATTGTTGTAGGAAATTAATGTTTCCTTTTGATAAAACGATGGGAATGATTTTATGACGACTTCATAGGAATTTCCAATAAGCATGACCATAGATTTATTTATTTTATATTTTCCTTTAATTTGTATTACTACCACATACTTAGAACATTTGCGCATTAGTTTCTGTGGTTTCCTCATAACTCCAAAGTCATTACAAACATTGTATTTATTGAAATATATATGTATGTACCTATATTTCCAGCTAATAAATCCAAATCATACCGCCATATGTTAATATATAAATATTAAAGCCGCTTTAATAAATCGCATCGTATACAATAATAATAATTATTAATATATTGTCTCAAGAAAAACAGATGAAATCGCGTGTAAGTTTTAGAATGCTATAACGTGAAAATTATTATATGTATATATTTCAATTCAAATCCTTTTTACTATTTATACAATATTATAGGTTAGTACTTTCATTGGCTGCAAAATACGGATTGAATACTTTTGTTAATTTATAATAAAAATGTGATGCACGATAGAATCCAATGTCGTTGTATAGGAATTAGTTTGCAGAGTAAACCGGCTGGTCCATTCTAAACGACGTTCATAATAAAAAAGAATCCAAGACGGGGAATGTGATCCTTTGCTTGTTCTATGGAAAAATACCCGAAACTTATTGTAATATACGATAAAAAATTGTATAAAAGACAGTTCAATGTATTT